AAGTCATATAGTGTCTGCTCTCAGGCCACAATGGAATTAAACTTGAAATCAATAACAGAAAGATAACTGGAAAATCCCAAACTAGTTGAAGATTAAACCACACATTTCTAAGTAACACATGGGTCAAAGAAGAACTCTCAAGAGACATTTAAAAAATATTTTTAAATCAAAATGAAAATAAAAATACAACTTATCAAAATTTGTGGGATGCATCAAAAGCAGTGCCTAGAGGGAAATTTATAGTATTGAATGCATATGTGAAAAAAGAAGAACAATGTAAGATCAATAATCTAAGCTTCTACCTTAAGAAACTAGAAAAAGAAGAGCAAATTAAATCCAAAGTAAACAGATAAAAAGAAATAATAAAAAAAATTAAAGCAGAAATCACTGAAATTGAAAAGAGGAACTCAATAAAGAAAATCAAGAGTGAACCTAATGTCAACTATGGACGGTGGGTGATAATGAGTCAATGTGAGTTTATCAGTTGTAACAAATGCACCACTGTAGTGCCAGATGTTAATAGTAGAGGAAGTTGTGCATGTGTAGAGACAAGGAGTACATGAAACGGAGTACATGAAACACTCTGTACTTTCTGCTCAATTTTGCTGCGAACCTAAAACTGTTCTAAAAAATAAAGTTTATTAAAATTATTTAAAAAGTGACCACATAGTTCTATTAATAAATCTCATCTCTCTTCTCTCTTCCCTAGAAAAAAGAAAAATGAATTCATCTTTTCAACACTCCTCTGATACTTCAAAACAAAACATTCTTTCAAAACAAGCCTCTTCACTGAGAGTGTTCAAGAACTTAATTGTGCCTTTGTTACCTTAGGATATTTTAATTGTCCCTTTAAAGGCTCTAAGGAACAGAGATGGGACAAAAGCAAAAATGAAGTACTTGAGTGATTCTCATTCATATCTTTCAAGTCTCAACGTGGCTAGACAGATTTAAAACATACCTTCAGAGGAAAGTAATTAAAAATGAATATAGTTTAATACTGCCAATCCTCTCTTTCTCTAAATGTAAAGATTCTTATATATGAGATGGAAAAGGCACAAATTCGTCTCCCTTTTACTTGGCTTATATTTTCCAGGATTTTTAAGTGCCTAAAGAAATGGCACTTTTACAGTGTCCTCCTATTTTGGACCTACAGTACTTTCCATTCCCTTCCAAATATATCACTGTGGCTTTATTTGCACCAAATCACCTTCCCTGATGAGAAACCTAGGGCTCTAATGCCTCCTCTCCACTCTGTAGTCAGAAGCTATGCTTTTGAACAGTTAATATTGTACCCCTGCTCAATCTGCTGAGAGCACAATCTTGGAATACTGATTTTATTGCTTAAGGCCATTTCATAAGTCCCCCAAACAGACTGCCATTATTTCTCTCTCCAGAAGCTGGCAGTTAATGACCATCCTACTTCTAGCCAGTAAGGGAGCAGTTATTTCCTGACAGTATGTCTTTAGGTCAGCATGATGTCCTCCAATTACAAGTTTATCACTGCCCGTGGTTATACAAAGAGCATCTCTGTTGCTATCTCTTAGATGAGAAATAGAGACTCTCTGAGGGGACACCATCCTGTTAATTTGGCCCAGGTCGTCTTCACTTATGCATCCTCCTTTTGGAGCTCAGTCTTCCATAAAAAAAGCCACCATAATTGACTATGTTTGTTCCCTTTCAGGTTTGAATAACACAGGAGAATGATTCTTTGGTTGTCAGTTCTTATTTGAAAGTCTTTCTCAGAGAAAGAAAATTCTTATTTTAGCTAGGAATAACCACACACTAGTCTACTGCAGCTGCGACAACCCTCAAAAAAGCTGTACAAAAGAAAAATGTGACTTCCACCTCCAAAAGTCATTAGAGATTTTTTTCTTCTTATTAAGGCACCCAGAACACACAATATTATATTGAGCCAAAAGAACCAATTTTCTTCATGGAGTAGAATAGCAATTGGCTGTTACTCATTAAATTCTTACAGCAATGAGCAATGACTTTCTTTCTTGTTTTGCTTCTCTTTGAATAGTAGATGAAGTTGATTTTTTTTTCCCAAGGCTGCCTCCCGTCTCCAACAGTCCTGATCCTTGGCCTGTGTAGCTGTTAATATGCTGCACACATACGCTCAGGCTCCTTAACAGCCAATGCAGTTAACCTTTCTGTTTACTCCAAGTCAGTCCCTATCTTGTTAGTGAAATTGATTTTTTTTTCTTTCTAAACAGAATAATTTCATATGTTACAAAAACTACATATATATAAAACCCACTGGTTTTCTAAATTCTTTTCTTTTTTATTTTAAGGGCTTCAGGGGCCATGGGTTCTCATGTTTTAGTTGAGAAAGACATGTTCATTTGTGATAAGGTGAAAGGTGGGCTGACTACAGCTACTTCACAAATATAGTTATTGCCTCTTCTGCATTGGGATAAACTGCTGGAGCCCACAATTTACCTCTATTCTCAAGGAGAAGTGAATTCCCTTGATTGAACATAGGTGAAAGATTATGTTTTCTGGAATTAAGGAGTAAAATATTAGAGATGACATAAAAGGACACTTTGTCATAACTGTGTTCAAAGGTACTTCTCTTTCATAAATCGCCTGCATCATTTTATACTGTAATTGCCTATTAACTCTCTGTACCCCTCAAGGATAGGAAGCTCCTGGAAGGCAGGAATTGCATCATAATGACTGTTTTATCTTCAGGGCACATGGTCTGGCAGATGGTATACAGCTAATACATATTTCTGTTAGTATTATTATATTCAATACAAAAGTCTAATTCTTAATTAGCCACGGTTTTAGACTAACTGGCACACCCACTGCCCCAACATTTATGAAATGAGTTTTAATCACACATTATCCCAGTTTAGACAGTTACGCCCAATTTCAAATATCTAATGATCTCTACCTAAGCACTGAGTATCTTTATGGGAGGCAGCAGAAACAATGCTAAATTTGTAAGTTTTCAATCTTTCTGCTCTGATTCAGAGTCTGCAACTAACTAGCAGTACCTTTGATAAGTCACTTTAACTTAGTGGATCTCATGTCAAAGATTAAAGTGGGAAACTGAACTAAATGGTCTCCAAGTGTCTAGCGGGGCCTAGCTCTATTCATGTTCTGATTAGGCATGAATTATTCATAGTAAGGGTACTACTGATATGGCAAGCCCTTATCAACACTAGAGGGAGCTACATTCATGCCATCGATGGGGCGTTTTGGAAGATTTCACGAAAAAGCATCTTTAAATGGCAAATGGACTTTTCCAGCATGAGAGAAATTTCACACCAAGTGAGAGGTCCACGCTGTTCATACAGCCATCCCACAGGTTCTCTGTAATTACCTCCTTCTTACAGATGTCAGAACGCCTCACACCTGACTTGTGCCAACATACCAGGCTTCAGTTTTAATTCCATGAGAACCAAGGTGACTTTGAACCATTCCTAAAGATGATTTTCCCCATTCAGACTATTTTCTTTCTTAATCAAATTAATAACAACAAAAAGCAAAGTAATTAATAGTGATATCACAAAATCCCCGAAGAGGGGGGACAGAGGAGGAGAAGGATTCATATCACACTGAAACAGTGACCTGAGAAAAACAGTAAAGTTAACTACAATGAATTCATTAGCCGCCTGCCACTCAAATCCAAAGCTACTTTAAAAACAAGAAAATCACTTAAAAAGAGGAAAGATAAGATATCAAGGAAAGGAAGGATCAACACAGCTCTGCAATGTGGGAGCTGGGATGCCCTATTGGGCTCTGTGGTAAGAAGCTCACAGCTGCTGAAGAGTGATGTCATTAATTAGAGGCAACGCGGTCACATTAGGCATTTGGCAAGAAGATTGTAAGTGACAAGATAAGGGAATGGAGGATGGGTAGGGAAAGAAAAAGAGAAAAGCATTTCTAAAGCTGTTACTCTGATGTTATTATATACTCTCTTCTCCAAAAACACCCATGGCCTTGAAAATGTCTGACTTAAATCATCATAGAAAAGTGAAATGAAGAATCAAACCTTTCCATTAGTATCAACTTGTGTTTCTCTCTGCCTGGAGGAACAATGGCATGTTAACCTGATAGGGCATAAATCATGAATATTACAGAATGTAGTCTGTGGGAGAAGATAAATGCAATCCCAAAGAACCCCTTTTATTTAAATTTCATAGATTAATTCAACACAGAAAAGTAAAGCATCAACAGTCAGAAATAGACCACCTACTTTTTAGAACATGGGCTGTTCCTGAGTAAAAATAGATTATAAAGCAATTTCAGACAGTGACTTTATGGGTAAAGAGAAAAATCTACTAGAATGAGACAAACAATTATTTTCCATTTAAAAAATGCAAACTTAAACCTCCAGAGGTAAGTACAGAGTAACACTTACCAGGTTAAAAATCAGCTTATTTCTATGGATCCAAGTAGTTGGGATACCTAACTGTTTCTTAAATCACCAACTTCAAGTACTCTAGAGCTGTGGTCCCCAGTCACCGGGCTGCAGACCAGTACTGCTCTGTGGTTTGTTAGGAACCAGGGCCGTGCATCACCGATCACCACCTGAGCTCCACACCACACTCCACCCTCCGCCCCCTTCCCCCTCGCCCTACAAAACAGAACTGGGTCCAACAGCAGGAGGTGAGAGGCTGACAAGCGAGGGAGCAAAGCTTCATCTGTATTTATAGCTGCTCCCCCCACCGCTGGCATCACCACCTGAGCTCCACCTCCCCCACGTCCCCCCAAATCCATGGAAAAACTGTCTTCCATGAAACCAGTCCCTGGTGCCACAAAGGTTGGGGACTGCTGCTCTAGAGTGTCAAAACCTTATCAGAGTCAAGAGGACTTCTCTTTTCCCACAGAAAATTAAAAGAAAAAAATTTTAACAGCCCTTTCAATCAACAATCCTGCTGAGAACCATGAGAAAAACATACTCTATGTTAAAAGGAAAACAACTTGTTTTCCTCCCTTATTTAGGAGACATGCCAAAGGATTTCCAATTCACTCTGCTTCATACTGACCTTTAAAACGTTTCGGCCATCAAATGATTCTCTTTCCTTGAAGATATATTTGCCATCTGCTGTGTAGAGATTGTACCTGCCTTCAGCTGTAAATATTCCAAAGATAATGTTAGAAGAGAAGCTTAGGTTAATTATCTGTTGTCTCTTAGATTTCCATAGGTACACAGATACAACTAGCAAAATTTTCATGTGCTACCTGGAAAGAGGCATAACATGGAAGAAAAAACATCAGGCTACGAGTCAAGAGATGTGGCTTCTAGTCCCAGCTCTGTCATCAACTCATTCAATATACATTTACTCATTCAACATTCTTCAAGTACTCACTGTATGCACTTCTTAACTATGCAACTAGCTACATTCTCAGGCAAATCATGTCTCCTTCATGGGCCTCAGTTCCTCAGTGACAAAGTTAGAGGTCGAGACTAAGTGATTTCCAAAGGTTCTTTACAGTTTACAAATCCAAGATAAGCTGCACATAATTTAAAATATATAAACACACAATAGTTCGCATATTAACTAGTCAAAACCGCTGAGTTTTGACCCAAAAACTATGCTTTGGGTTGATTTAAGGACTCCCCCCAAAACAAAAAGAGCCCTTTAGTTGCAATCAAAGGTATCCTTACAGACATTCTACACAGGAATGTAGCAAATCTATGACCTTGGCCTAAACAAAGCTGTGCTCTACCTTCTTGTGTCAATATAGGTTTCATATCCCAAAAGACGTCCTTAAAGCTTTCAAGGAAAAAAATATCAAAGAAAAGGGAAACAGGAGAGAAAAAATACAACATCATTTCATGTTCTTTTCAAGTAAGAATTCAACACAGAGGAGGCCAGGGTAGAAAAAATTCAAAGTATCCTCAAGAATTATTTAACTCTCAGAATATTTCCTAAAATACTAATCCTTTCCTGCCTACTGACAGACATTTAAAAATATTTGTATTCCCACCTTTGAGAATGTTTTTTTACTTACACAGGTATGGAGAGAACCAGGTCAGAATTGATAAAATACATCTACAATTCTAACAACTCCATGAATATAATGCATTTTAGTTAGCACACTGGAGTTACACATGGGTAACTATGGAATTATTTCTCTAATGAGAAGCAGGTTCTTAATCAAAGATCCTAATCCCATGTATATTTCACAACTTAAGATATGTGAAGTTTTGAAAGAACAATAGGCCAAGCAAGGTGGCTCACGCCTGTAATGCCGCACTTTCAATGTCCAAGAAGGGAGGACGGCTTAAGGCCTGGAGTTCAAGACCAACCTGGGCAACATGGCAAGACTCCGTCTCTACAAAAAAATTTGAAAATTAGCCAGGTGTGGTGGTGCATGCCTGTAGTCCCAGCTACTCAGGAGGCTAAGGCGGGAGGATTGCTTGAGCCCAGGAGTTCAAGGCTGCAGTGAGCTATCATGGTGCCACTGCACTCTAGCCCAAACAAAAGAGCGAGATCCTGTCTCAAAAAAAAAAAAAAAAGGTAAAAGAAGAGTAAGTAAATTAATACCAAATAAATACCAATTAAAAAGCAGAAATCATTTCTGAAGATTGACATGTTTAATGACAGGTCCAAAATCTATAAGTAGCATTAACCATCAGGGAAATGTAAATCAAAATCAAAATGAGATACAACTTTACACCTACAAGGATGGCTATAATAAAAATAAAAGATGTAGTAACAAGTATTGGCAAAGATGTGGAGAAACTGAAATGCTCATATACTGCTGGTGGAACATAAAATGGTGCAGCCACTTTCGAAAATAGTCTGTCAGTCCCTCAAAAGATTAAACATAGAGCTACCACATGACCCAGAAATTCCACTCCTCAGTATATACCCAGGAGAACTGAAAACGTGCCCACACAACGCTTGCATATGATGTCCACAGCAGCATTGTACATAATAGCTAAAAAATAGAAAGAACACAAATATCTATCACCTGATGAATGGATGCATAAAATGTGGTATTTCCATACAATGTAACATTATTCAGTAACAAAAAGGAATGAAGTATTGATACATGTTGAAACATGGATGAGCCTTGAAAACATTATGCTACATGAAAGATGCCAATCACAAAGATCACATATTGTATGATTTCATTTATATAAAATGTCCCAGAACGGGCAAATCTACAGAGACAGAAAGTAGACTGGTAGTGCCTAGGGCTGGGGAGGAAGAAATGGGGAGTGACTGCCAATGGGTATGAGGTACCTTTTTGGGGTGATTAAAATGTTTTAAAATTGATCATGGTGATGGTTGCACAACTTTGATTATATTGAAAACACTGACTTGTACATGTCAAATGGGTGAATTGTATAGTGTGTGAATTGTATCTCAATAAAGCTATTATATTTTGAAAATCTATAAGTAGGAAGGGATTAACTAGACTGTGAACACAGAACATTTTCTTATATAAAGCTGTAACTATAAACCTGGATCCACACAATTTAGAATATACAGATTCCAACATAATTGAACTCTTTCTATGTTAAGAGATTAATTAATAATGGAATATGAAATAGGTGTAAGAGCTCTGAACAGAGATTTAAAGACTAAGACAAATGTGAAATGCACTAATGATAGCTATTAAGTATCTAATGAAATATTACCTATATCCGCACTATCCAAAATAGTAGCCACTATCCAGATGCGGCTATTTCAATTTAAATTAATTAAAGTTAAATAAAAGTAAAAGTTCACCTTCAGAGCCTCACTAGCCACCTTTCAAGTACTCAATAATCACATGTGGCTAGTGGCTACCATACTGGCCATCACAGATACAGAATATTTCTATTACCATAGAAAGTTCTATTGTAGGGTGCTAGATACAATATGTCATCTGAACCAATGAATTTAGAGTGTACTCTAGAGTTCTGAAACTCTGCCTACACATAATGATGTTAAAACATATATCACCTCAGGGGATCTCACTGGCTTTTCCAAAATAAAAATGACTGTCCAAAATAAAATAAGCAGGCTGGGCACAGCGGCTCACACCTGCCATCCTAGCACTTTGGGAGGCTGGGGCAGGAGGAATGCTTGAGCCCAGGAGTTCAAGACTAGCCTGAGCAACACAGAGAGACCCAGTCCTCTACAAAAAATAGAAAAATTAGCTGGATGTGGTGTGTGCCTGCAGTCCCAGCTGCTCAGGAAGCTGAGGCAGGAGGATCACTTGAGCCCAGGAGTTTAAGGTTGCAATGAGCTGTGATGATGCCACTGCACTCTAGCTCGGGCAATAGGGCAAGGCCCTGTCTGAAAAATAATAATAATAATAATAATAAACAATAATAAAATACTAGCAAAAACCTAGGTAAATGTTTCCACTGGACAAGCTACATTATAATACATAGGTATCTCAAATATTCCAACCTTCTGCAATACTACTATCCAAATGAAAGAAATATGCTCCACTGGAACAAGAACAAGTTCAAAGCTTTGGATTCTATTAACTACCCAAATAAGAGTCTATAGGCTTTGACTGAGTCATTTGAACCTCCTTTGGTCTTAGTGTTCTTCAAAGGCAAAACTGATTAATTTAGAGAAGTCTTAAATAAAATTCAGTAAAGTATCATAAAACATTAACATTTTAGAACTAATAACTAGACAGCTAATATTTATTGGTCCTACAATGGCTCTAACCAAATGGAATTATATTAAATGATTTCCAGTTGGGATCTTTTAAGTAAAAAGATGTACCCTTGATAAAAAGAGACACAAATTGTCCTACATTAAATAACTACAAATAGTCAATGGGTTGAAGTCCTGATAAAGTCTTCTTCCAATCTAGATTTTCTAAAACCAAGGTCAGGGCCCTAAGAAAGGAAATAAAACCTGAATATGCAATTTTGGGGCTAGTATATTTTAAACAACAGATCTTAGAAGGAACAGTTGCATATAGCTTGAATTTATGCCTCCTGATCAGATGCTGAATGTGCTAGAGAAGTTTTCACTTTGGAGGTGGGGATGGGAAAAAAAAAATCCTGTTGAAATAAATAATTATCCCAAATCAAGGATTAAAACAGGGCATTCTTATCCAAAGGCTGCGATTCCATGAAGAAAAATTATTACTCTAACACAAGGTTTCTCAACCTTGGTGCTACTGACAGGTTGGGAAGAATAATTCTTTGTCATAGAGGGCCATCCTGTGCAAAGTAGAGTGTTATACAGCGTCCCTGGCCTCTACCCATTAGATGCCAGTAGCAACTCACCTCCAGTCCCCTAACTGTGATAACCAAAAATGTCTCTAAATAATCCCAAATGTCCTCTGGGGAGGGGGGGTGTAAAATCGCTCCCAGGGGAGAACCACTGGTCTAACATTTACTTTTACTTGCTAACCTTCATTTCTTCTTTTTTCTCTTCAAAGAAAGCCAACAAATATTGCAAGGGACATACTTATACTAAACAATTATTCATTATATATCTAAAATTTACCTGGGCATCCTATATTTTTATTTGCTAAATCTGGTAACCCTATGTGTGACAGAAATAAAAGATCTAGTAGCCAGAGTCCGAGGCTAGATATGTCCCTCCCCACATCTACTATGCTCCTCAAAACAAGCTAATAGAGCTAAAAAAGAAGATGTATCAGAAACAGTCCATTCTATTTAAATCTCAGAGATACCACAAGGCCACTGATCACAAACGGTGCTATAGTTCTATGGAAGACTTACCATTGGGGTCTTTCCTGAATAGTGTATTCATGACTGTAGCATGCAGTTTCACACTATTCCACTCTTTTACTATTAGTCCGGACGCCTGAAAACGTTCCAGCACTCGATCAACTAATTCCTGCAGCCTGGAGAAATTGAAGAAAAGAAGTACAGAAATCTTAATAAATTCCTGAACACATGCTTACTAATTCAACAATGTTTACAAAGCACCTGCTCTGTGCCAATCACTTTTCTTTTTATTTTTTTTCTTGAGACAGAGTCTCACTCTGTTGCCTGGGCTAGAGTGCTGTGGCGTCAGCCTAGCTCACAGAAACCTCAAACTCCTGGACTCAAGCGATCCTTCTGCCTCAGCCTCCCCGGTAGCTGGGACTACAGGCATGTACCCCCATGCCCGGCTAATTTTTTCTATTTTTGGTTGTCTGGCTAATTTCTTTCTATTTTTAGTAGAGATGGGGTCTTGCTCTTACTCAGGCTGGTCTCGAACTCCTGAGCTCAAACAATCCTCCCGCCTTGGCCTCCCAGAGTGCTAGGATTACAGGCGTGAGCCACCACGCCCGGCCGTCAATCACTTTTCAAAGCCCTGCATCAGAAAAGGAAGAGACTTCAGCCCCCATCATGGAGCTCACTGTCTTGTCAAGAAGACAGAAAGACAGGGGAAATGAATAATTGCAATATGTTATGGTGAATGTGAAGGGACTATTCAACTCTACATGGAGAGGGCCAAGTTTCCACAGGAGGTTTAAATGTGGTCTTGAAGGATCATTAAAGATTTGCAAATAAAACCAGGGAAGGGCAATTCAAGCAGAAGAAACAGCACATGCAAAGATGCCAAGGCATGCAAGATGACAGCATATTTGGAAAACTGCCAATTATTTAATGACAGTACAAGAAGAGGGACAATTAGAGATGAGCTGGATCTATAAGTAGCAGTCAGACCATGGGAAGCCATCAAAAGACTTTCAAAAGACAATGATGTGGTCTGATGTCCATTTTTGAAAGCTGACTCTGTGACAGAGTGGAAAATGCTTTATAAGGGGATAGGACCAGCAGTACAAAGGTCAGCTAAGTGGCTACTGCAACAGACAAAATAACAACAAACACAATGTGTCAGGTACTGTACTGAGAGCACTTTGTATCTGTTAAATCATTTAATCCTCCCAACAAATTATTATCCCTATTTTACCAACAAGAAAATTAAGGCACAGAGAAGTTATGAACTTGACCAAGGTTACAAAACTAGTAAGTGGCAGATCCAAAATCAGAATGCATACAGTCTAGCTTCAGAGTCCATGCTCTTAAGAACTGCATATAAAGAGGAAAATGATGCAGATCTAAACTGCAGCAGGGCAGTGAGAACTGAGACAAGGGACTGGATTCCAAAGAGCTGTGTGAGAGAGGGGCTGGTGCCCATTCAGATACGGCTGTGTTAAGGGAGAGGAGGTGGTTAAGAAAGATTCCCAAGTGTTGCCTTAAATGACCAGGTGGGTCATTAACCAAGGTGGGGAGCTGTGGAGAAGCAACTGCTTACTGTTATTTGTCTGGTTTGGGGGAGAAGGTTAATATACTGTACATAATTTTCCATATGTGGCACAGGACAGTGGAAGAGAGATGAAAATCCAAGCCTGGAGCTCAAGAGGAAAATCTAAACTCCACAGATTTAGGAATCATCAGTATAAAAACAGCAGTTAAAAGCATGGGAGAGAAGGAGTCATAGGGGCGGTAGGATTTGGAGTAAGCCAAGAAGAGAGCTAGGGACAGAGCCCTATGAATCACTTCTATGTGAGGAGCAGAGAAGGAACCAGCAAAGACAGCTGATGAGGATAGGGAGTAAGAAAAGGATGCTGAGAGGCTGAAAGGAGACTTACAAGGGGGAAAAAGAGAATAATCAGTACAGGACAACACTATGGAAAGAAAAGAAGCAAAAAATGCCGCCTTATTTCTCACAATTAGAGACCTCTGTCAAAGCAGTTTCGTCGACATGCTGGAGACAGAAGTCTTGTGACAGAGGACCAAGGGAAGAACCAGAGAGAGGAGGGGAAGTGATAACTGCACATAACTCTGTCAAGAAACTTGAAAGGAAGGAGAGAAACTAATGCCGTGGTAATGAGAAGATATGGAGTTGAGGGAAGGTTGTTTGTATTTGCTTTTAATGAGGAGAAAAAGTTGAAAATGCTTATTGACAACAAGAAATTATTCAATAGAGAAGGAAGATCAAACCTCAGGCCATAGAGGGAACGCACAGAACAAGATCTCAAAGGATGATGCGCACACAGGGGACAGGAATACAGCAGTGAACAAAACCAGCCTCCACCCCAAGCAACTAACATCGCAGTGGAAGGAGACAGGCAACAGACAGACACACATATACGAACGACCTCGGGGTGCTAAGTGCCACGAAGAAAATGAAATGGCAAAGTGGGAGTGGAATGTGACTGGGGCTGGGTGTACTAGTTTGGGTAGGGCGATCAGGGAGGGTCTCCCTGAGAAAGTGACATTTGAGCAGAGACCTGAGGGAAAACCATTCCAGAGAGAGGGAACAGCAAATGCAGACATCCGAAGCAGGCACACGAGTGGTATGACTGAGGAACAGTACGGTAGCCAGTGTTTGCAGTGAAACCGGGGAGAGGGAAGTGATGAGGTCAGGGAGGTCGGAAGAACTCGCAGGCCAGTGTAAGGGCATCAGCTTTTACTCTGAGTGACGTGGGGAGCTTTTGGAGGATTTTCAGCAGAAGAATGACACAATCTTGCTGCTGTGTGGAGGACAGACAGCAGTGGAGGCAGGATGGAAGCAGGAAGGCAGCTAGACTAGAAGGCGATGGTAACCACCCAGGTGGCTGGGGCAGCAGCAGTGGAGGTGATAAGAAGTGACCGATTTCCTGGTATACCAGAGTCAAGAGGTGAAGGTGATTATAAAAGAATTTTTGTCCTGAGCAAACAGAAGATTGGATATCAAAGAACACAACACATTCGAGGACTCATAACAATTCTGTAGAAAGGGAAAGGCAGGCTGAAGCCAAGTTGTGAAGGCCTCTGTGGGCCAGGCAGAGTTGGAATTTTACTTGGTAGCCACGAAACCAATGAGGGTTTTAAAGAAGCAAGAAACACAGGAAAAAACTAAAGGCATGAAAACCAGTTAAGAGAGATGTGCTTCCTTACATAGTTATCTTAATTTTTTTCCCAATTACAAGAATAATATATATTCATTATAGAAAATATGTAAAGTACAGAAAAGCATAAAAAGGAAAACTTAACCTCACCATCCATAGATAAGCATTTAACAAAAAACAGTTAAGTGGCTGGGCGAGGTGGCTCACGCCTGTAATCCTAGCACTCTGGGAGGCCAAGGCGGGAGGACTGCTTGAGTTCAGCAGTTCGAGACCAGCCTGAGCAAGAGTGAGACCAAAAAGAAAGAAAAACAAAACCCAGCCGGGCATTGTGGGCTACCTGGGAGGCTGAGGCAGGAGGATCACTTGAGCCCAGAAGTTGGAGGTTGCAGTGAGCTACAATGATGTCACTGCACTCTACCCAGGGTGATAGAGTAAGACTCTGTCTCAACAACAAAAAAAAACAAGGCAACTGAACACCTCTCCTCACAGCCCCCCACTATCCCTTTATATATTAAAAAAAAAGAAAAGAGTTAAATGTTTATTGGTGAATGGCGAGGTTATATAATTGGGAAAAGCAATTAAGATATACCAGTTTTAAAAGTTTCTGATTACCACTGTCACAGAACGATACAATTTTTAAATAATATAACTTAGGTCTGAACATAACCATGCACTACAAAATCCACCTCAATTACAAATCACAACAGAATAATTCCTTACTTTTCTCTCTCTTCTTATAAAGAAAAAAAAAAGTTGATAGAGAGTTTAGCTATATAGAAACAGGGAGCATAAAATAGTAGAGTAAGGAAACTAAATAGACTAACTGAAAAAAGCCAGTTTCTGGCTTTGTCTTTCTGGAAAACTAGAGTTTCTGCCAATTTATAGATGCAGAACTTCAAAGGGACTAAAGTCGTTTCAAAAGTTCTAGTCTAACCTGCTCTTTATACACAGGAGGAAATGATGCATAAAACTTGAACTGCTCAAAGTCAGTGAAAGAGGAACCAGAATACAAGTCTCCTGGCAGCCAGTTCTGTTGTTATCAGTATTTCACAATATCTGTACGCACTGACATAAAAATATTGTCTACGTTATATTTCATGAGAAGAATGAACTGCAGAAAAATACATGTAATGTGATCCCATTTGTGCTCCATGAAGGCTGGCTCTTTGTCTTACTGACTGCTTTAACTCTGCACCTAAATTAATGCCTAATCAACACACAATCAGTGTTCAATAAATAGTTGTTGCATGTACACATGAATGAATTCATAGATGGCAAATATTTGGGAATTCTATTAAAAGAACTTAAGGGTACTTAGATGTAATCACTAGATTTCAGGTTAATGTCATGGAGAATAATTGAGAATAATGTCACTATATTTGTAACAGTATATTCTTTCAATTCTTATTTCATTGATCCTCTTCTGTTTATGAGTGAGTCACAAAGCTTTCTCTATGCCTTTGCTTTCTCATAAGCAAATTAAAAATAATATGGGTTGCTATGAAAAAAAGAATGCCTTATTCTTAAAGCAGCTTTCATTTAGATAATACTTTGGGTTTGAAAAGAGAAGCCAGTTATTAATGCATTAAATCTAAGCTCTTAGTTTAAAGGCCTGTAAATGCTACAAAGCTCAAGCATTCCACAGCCATCTTTACAGATAAGGAGTTCATACTGCAGAATAATCACTGACTCCCTAGAAACTGTAAATTGCAGGGTTTTATTTGGGCTTTTCCCCCCAGTTTAATTCAGTTCTATCCAATTAATACCTCCTGAATGCTCACTGTATACAGACATGCTAATAACTACAAGAATAAAAACCTAAGCAAAGACAGTCCTTGTTATTCATGGATCTACAATCTTTTAAGATGACAAAATTTTTGTTTTCATTTTATATGAGACCATAAAGCAGACTTTGGTAATAACATAAAAAATACAAGGTGCTTTCGGTAATTTAAAAGTGGAAGAGATTGGCTGGGTACGGTAGCTCACACCTATAACCCTAGAAATTTGGGAGGCTG